CCACACTGGCTATGCCACTGCTGGGGTGACAGTCCCCTGCCCCCCAGAGACTCTCTCAGACAGATGCTTGAAGTTCATCACTGTGCCACTTCTACCTTTTTTTTGGTTGGAAAAGAGAAACGTAAGAATTAATGTTAAGAGAAAGGCAAGTGCTCATCGCCTTGCTGCTCCATAAACACTGTCCTGAAAGTTTAATCTCATAGGTAATAAAGCAGTCACAGGAGAGGCTCCATTCTTAACAAGCTAYCACAAGTCAATATTTTTTAAATGCAGCCCATAGCCAAGGTGAGAGAAAAAATGCATTTCATTCACTTTTCCCAAGTGTATGGCCAYTGATATGTTTAAATAGTGTGATAAAGTACTGCAACATTTCAATTCTAATAAAAAAACTTCTTAAAAATTTAAGTCACCCTATATTCATGTCAGTGTGGTTTTTGATGAAATCAGGGCTGACTTGTTCTCTTCCTTTCTGCCCACAGGAAAGAGAGCAGGGCTCAGCTGGGAGGCAGACCTGTTTCCAGGCAGAAATATTTATTCAGTGAAAAGTTGCATTTAAATATTGATGTTTCAACAGAACTTACTATTTGCTTAACCAAATGTTATAGATTTGCCTAGAGAATCACAATGGGGAATGAAAAGCCCATTTTTAGGCTCTTTTGGCAACACTGAATGACTTAGAAACAGTGATGAGAAAACCCCAAATTTTTCAAATCCATGTGATTTGTGGCTTCCCTGGTAAGTTGTCAGGGTTTGGGGTTGCAAGACAGGTGTTTGGCATTTCTAACTCCCTGCTCCCTTTAGGAGACATCAAACCAAGCATTAAACTCCTGCGGTCTTGAAAGTTCAAGTCAAGGTGGTTTTTGTTTTGCTTTTCCCCCTGAAGGTCAGTTCAGGATTGAATCCTTTTGTCAAGGTTGGCTGGAGAGCAGAAGGCTCTGTTAATCTGCAGGCACTGTGGCTCCCTCCTGGCTTCCTTCCCTTGCAGTTTGTTTTACTTCAGCATTCACCCCCTGGGATTGTAAAGGCTGCAGATGAAGGTTAGAGGTGAAACAAAGAAAATGGGGTTGGGTGTTTATTTAGAGGGAGCCAGAATTCATAATGCTGGAGACACTGGGCTCCTCCCAAGAGATAACCATAATTTAACAGCACCTCTCCACCACTTTGTTTTTTTTGGTTTTTTTTTTTCCAGAAATAAAACACAGTGACAGATCCAAAATACTACTTCCCTAAGTAACTCCTAGAACCAAAACAAGGAAGCTTTTTTCCAAGACACTGGAACAATACAAATATGCTTCCAGTATCTCCACGTGGGAAAGCATCTGCGAAAAGAAATAAAGGCAATTTTGCCTCCTTCAGAGACTTTCTTTTTTTTTATTCATTCAACTTGTGCCTTATTATGGTACAAGGTTTTTTGACTGTAGATGTTTTATCCTTGATAGATAATCTTATCTCCTCCCTTTTCAATGAGAAAGCCAAATTTTGCTTTCATTTATTGACTGTGGAACCCCACTGACTGGTAGCTAACAGGAACATCCCATCCCACACAGGTAGCCTGGTGATATATTTTCCCTTCTTCATAGCTTGTTTCAACAATCAGAGGAGCTACAAGAGAAGGTGCAGATGCATCCATTACACCTAAGAAAAAAAAGCCTTGCTCTTTTCCCAGGCTTTTTTTTTTGGTGTTTGGCCTCTAGGGCGTCATCCATTTGCAATGAGCTCCCTGGATTTACAACAGAGCCAAGTGRTTGTACAACAAAAACTGGATTCCGGGGTCCTGATAAGAGAAGACAAGCATCCTGCGACCAGAGCCTGACCAGTCACCCCAGCGCTAATCTGGTTGAATCAGCTGACGTCAGTGGTTTTATGCTAAACACACACTGGGGTGAAAAATGAGAGTGGCGCTCAGCTCCGGCAGCCCAGCTCCAGCGCTCTGCTACCAGAAGTGGCTGCTTACTTTCAAGCTCTCCGCACAGCCTGTAATCACTCAATATTGAAACCAGATTTACAAGCTCTTTAGAGGAGAAGTTTGTGATTTCCAAAGCAGACGCATTTGGTATTTCAGAAAAAGGTCAAGCCCCCTGTGGAGTAAGGGKTTTTTAATAGAATCAGTTCAGCAGGAGTTAAGAGGAGACATACCAACCCAGCGGCTCACAAAGCCAAGAGAGGCAGAGACAGAAGAAAAGCCACAACCGTTATTGTTTTGAGGAAAGAATAAGAGAAAGAGAGAGGCACAGGGTAAGCTAAATTAAATCTTGGACGTTTGATTTCATTTATTCCAATCCGAGAGACTTTCTCAGTTGGAAATAGAGAGGGCTGTCCTTCTTACGCTCCCAGGCTTGCAGGGGTTTCAAAGAAAGGAGTGTTTGTTACTGTCTGCAGGGGAAACCTGAGAGTGCTTAGCACAATGGCAAATCCAGGCTCTTAACTCAAATGCATTTAAAAGGATAGCCTTCGATTACTGTCTCAGCTCTTCAGCCTCCAGACTCTGGCCAGGSTCTCCAGCGATAAATATTTGTTGCCTGCCTCACTAGGCTGGGTGAAGTGGTTGTCTAGGACAGCTTTGTTTCACRCTGGTACTGCACCCAGCAGCCGGGAAGCCCAGGGAACATCACAAAGGACCCTCCTTGTCACAGGAATACAAGTTTTCTAAATACTACTGAGGCCTGCRGGCTAGATAAGCAGCCACTACAGAAATACTGACTAGAAATGAAGCTGGCTACTGCTTACTCCAACGCCCTTTGGACTCTGCAGTCAGTAGTTTCAGTGAAAAGATTTGGGGCTCATTCCATAACTCACAAAGCTGCTGCCAGACAGACACCAGAGCTCRTAACACAATTTCCTGAATATAAAGGCTTTAAAATAAATTGGAAATCCAGATTTCATACTGTCCCAGTTTCGGCTGGGGTAGAGTTAATTTTCTTCTAAGAAAAATGCTTAGAAGACTCACAGCCCAGAATCTCCTAGGCCACATCAGYTACCACACCTAAACTGTAGGTACCACACCAGGTAACAGAACAGCCCCAGGAGATGGCAKCTGCTGAGCCCAGCCCCAGCACTCTGCGGCCCTGCTGCCATGACTGCAGGGGATGGCAAACAAGCYCTTTTCTTCTTTAAAACATCTCCACAGCAAGGGGCCAATTAGAGCATCCTGGTCTTACTAGCCTTTTAATGGCARGCATAAATAGGCCCTTATATATTCAAATCAGCGGCAAATGAGTGGTGAAGGTCACAGGATGCTTAAATGACTGTACAGCATGCTCCCTCTGATTGCTGAAGAAGGCACTTTAAAGGTTTAACCATCAGATCTTCTAACTTGTCTAGTCAGACGGTATTTCAGGTTTGCCTCTTTTAGCACCAAGTTCCCAGTCAGTCATTCCCAAAAATAATACATTTGGCAGAGCAGACAATTGCCCTAGATTTTTAGATCAGTGCAAAGGAAGGGCAGAGCTCTTATAGGAAAGCAGCACTTTGAAAGGTCAGCCAGAAGACCACAGGCCAGATTCCAAGAGAAGTTGTGGCCACGTAATTTCTTAAACTGCAGCAGCAGAAAGAGGTAGAAATCAGAGGATATAATTCTCTGCATTAAAAGCAACTCTCCAGACACTCTGAAGAAGGGTCAGGAGCTTGAGGTACACAGATGAAACTAATCCTYCTAAACTACACTTTAATATTACAAACACAGGCACAGTGGGACCTTGGCATTCCCGAGGCTCTCGCTGCACTTGGCCCATAGGAATGTTTAACTGTAGGGGTAAGTTTGCAATATCAACTCCTCTGTTTGCACTGCCAAGTGACCAACTGATCTCTAACAACAACCCTACCACATAGCTTAAGTGTAGTTTCAGGAACACCAGCCTGTGTCTTAGAGGGGCAGGTGTTCCTCGGTTACAACCCTTTGCATTTCAGGCTGCACATCCCAAAGCAATCTACCACAGCAAACAGCACAAGGGATCAGAGCATGGCAGCAAGGTTGTTGTAACCCTGTGTGTTCCATCCCCTTCTCACTGCTGGCAACAGCAGGACCTCAATTTCAGAGCCAGAACAGGAGGCAGAAGCATTTCTAAAGCTTCTTAAAAGATAGATGGACACTAGACACTCGCCAAGTTTTATCTTCTGAAGCAGCATTTTGGATGCTTTTTTCACCATGATATGGCATGAGTTTTTAAGCAAGTATACTTTAATTACTGCAACGTTATTAAAGTAAGTAAATACAATAAATTCCTTGAACAATCCAGGTTGTTTGGTTTTAGCAACTAAGCACTAAATAAATGAAATGATCAAGTGAAGCCAACTAGCAGAAGGAGCAAGAAACAACTAGGYGCACAAATACTGGCCAGGGAGAAGTCACCTATGCAAGAATAGTATAAAGCAGGAGCCCGAGATTAAAGTACACTGTTGCTTCTTCAGTCCCACACAAAACTAGGAGCACATGATACTTAGTTACACGATAAGAAGAACAAGGCAGATACTTTCCACAGTGCCCAGAGGGGTTATAAACAGAAGAAAAAAMMAAAMACCAAACCACAGCTGAATAGGCAGTGTGGTTTTGGGGTTTCCCTCTCCTCCCCCAAAAAAGTTTGGGTATAAAAGGTACGAAAGGAAAACAGATCACAGAAACAAGAATTGTGAAACAAGGGAGGAAAACCAGCTATAAATAATTAGGAGTMACTTCCTGACACTTTCTGTCCTCTTTTGCACAGAGGAAGTTTCTTCATTAACAGAGAAAGAAATAGTTATGCAAAGCTTTGGAAGAATTCAGTATGGATATGAACAAAACACAACAGCCAAGAATTGCGGATGTGGATTCACTGCTACTTGAAGCATAAAACAAAGCTGCCACCTTCATTCTGGAATAACCACCTAATTTCCTTCACAGAGTAGGAAAATAATCTGTTTGCAGAATCTAATTGTTATGCATGGCCTTACCATGCACACCTTGATTTGTTTTCCACTATCACCCACTAGAAAATCCATTTTCCAAAACAAAAGTCACAAGCAAGTTTCAGACAAAATATATATATTTTAAAAAAATCTTTACAATAAGTCAGGAAACATAGGAGCTTGCATACAGTTTATTATAATAACTCAGTTCTCAGCTCCCTACAGTTCAGATAACCCTGGTGACAGTGTTTACAACTTCTAACTTTTGCTTTCACAACTCTGAAGCAAACAATACATTTGAGTGTATTTTACTCTGTGCAAATAAGACAAGTTTTGGAATCCTTCAGAAGAAATATCCAAGATTCTGTTTGCAGAGGTCCTTTGTTTCTCAAAGATGATTTATGAGAGTTTTTGTTTTAAAATAAAGTGCTCCTGTCCAGCAGAACCCAAAGGCCTTCAAGAGTTCAGAGAGTAAGTTTAGCTCAGATTAAAAAATAATTGGTCATACAAATTCCAGCTTCCCATGTCCGCTGTACATTCCCCAGTGGACTAGTGAAAGAATTTTATCATTGCTGAGGTCTGAATGTCTCATTTTATCACAGGTCATGCAGCAGTTCTCGTGACCAGTCACAGGCACCATGCATTCCAAGTCCAATTTTGCCACCTGCCCTTTTTTTGAATGATGTCCATGAAAACTATAGTGCAAACGAGAGAGCATTTGCTGTCGTTGATCTTGCAGTCTCTTGTTTTCACTCCTGAGCATCCTCAATGCCAGCATGATAAGGAGGACCAAGATTAGCCCACCAGCAATAGGAACAGCAATTACAGCWGCCCTGAACCATAACTCTTTCGAAGAAGTCAATTCCTGCACCTTGGTGATGAGATTCCTGCTGCTGTCATGCTGATATCTGCTCCCTTGTCCTACAAAGGGGAAAGATGTGAAGTTTATTTCAGGATTTATATGTACACAGATTTATATGTACACTGATTTACATRTAAGCAACTCCCTTAAATCCCTGAACACTGACAAGTTTCAGGAGTAACTGCTACACTCTACAGTATCTACAGAAAATACCCCTCTAGAGAAAAAGGTGAGTTTCTAAGTCTGCTTATATCATGGAATTTCTTACCCCAACAGCCGGTTTAACTATAGGAATACCACTGCCACTGATTCTCAGAAGGAATGTCAAGATGGCAAGTGAGACTTCCAATATTAATGCAGAYAAAAAAGCTAAGTGGCTGAGATGCTCCCTGGCCTCCAGCCCCCCTCTTCTCCCTCTGATGTCTCTACTTACATTAACTACTAAAACAATAACAGCAGATGCACAAGGCTTTGACTGTCACTGGCCTGCAGAGGTGTTTCACTGAAGCTTTATTGCCTTACCTGAGGCATCACCCCTGGAAGGAGACAARACATCATGTAGTCCTCTGTAATTGCACATATCTTCATGACAGCATTCCAATGTGGACATGGTGGTGGTGCCAGAGTGGTTTTGTGCTTGCTTGGCTTGGCAGATCTCAGCTGTGCTTGCAATAGAGTCCAAGCAGCCATGAGTAAGTGGGGAATGTGTRTTCTGAGGATCAAGCAGTCTGGAGAAGCAGGCCCCAAGCTCAGATTTGCACATATAGCCAGTTGCAACGCAGTGTGCGGCATCACAGTAGCATCTGATTTCACCTAAAAATACAAATTGTGCAAGAAAGATAAGAACTTGGTCCTTTAAGGACACCTCACTATATCTCATTATTAGCCACAACCATCACCCAACCAAACTCAGTATCAGTTCTGAGGCACTTCTCCGGACTGTAGACCCAGAAAAGCTGGGGTTGTTTCCTTCCCATCATTGTACAGTACCTACCTACCTTAATCCCTATAAATGCCTTGGGGCAATTGCTTTAATGACTAGTACTACAGTCCTTTGAATTAAAGCAAGAGCATTTCACTAAAACARGGACTGGGGGACAGCTTGAGAGTGGGGGAAGGTCACAGTGGCTTTTTATCCCCAAGGTAAATAACTAACAAGACCATTTTATAGTTATTTCCACTCACTGTCAGCAGTTGCATTTAACCACATTTAAAGTGAAATACCAGTTCTAAAAGCAAAACACTTTCAGTCCTAGAAGAAAGTCACATYTATGTTTTAACCATTACTCCAGTAACAGCATTCTATTTTTATAAAAGTAACATTTCTTTTAACTGGGCATAAGCACACAACAAAAATACCAGGTTTAAATATTTATGTGACAAATGAAAAAAAAAAATCGGAACTGCTGAATTGTTTATTACCTCTCAATACTGCGCCAAAATTTAAAAGGTTTAACTAACACCTTATAAAGCTATTAGCTACAACCATTACCATCTAAGTCTCTTAGTCAGGAAGGTTTTACTGTGTGAAACTGAGCAACTATTTGTAATTTCTCCAGAAAGAGAAATTCTTTAAGTAGKTATTCATATGAAAAGGCTTTTTTATCATTATTATAAAACAAGAAAGTTTCGGTTTATAATTACACTGTTCAACAGAGATAATGACTCTCAACTCAAATGTAAAGTTTTAAAATTGAGTGAAACTGCAAGGCTATAGGCTCTCCCTTGCCTCTCCCCGATTTCACAGGCAATCCAATATGCACTAAAAAAGAGGAAACACTTAGACTGAAAATCCTCTACCAGCTCTATGAAAAATCTCAGGAAACCTCAAAAATTTCTGAAGGAAGCGATAAAGTTCTCTTCATAAAATTCTTCATTTTGTGCTTTCCAAACTGCTCTGGTATGAATTAAACATGTCCTGTGCTGTAGCGAAAACTTACTCTTTCTAGGCAAGTTGCAACTCAGACATAATTCAATGTGCCATCGAGCCAAGATTTAAGAGGAAGACAGATTTTTGAGACATCCTTGGAAGAACGGGCTTAAAACTACTTCTGGTGTGCCTGCTGTACCTGACACCAGAGTAGCACCAAGGCTTTCAAAGTCGACAAAACTGTCAGATGTCTTCYTTCCACAGTCTGCACTTGAAAAATCAATCTACAGACCTCCCTGTGCGGCCATTYTTTATAAAGTTACCTACTACCTATACCTAAAAAAACCCAAACAGTTCTGCAAGATGTTAAAAATCATCCCAAACAAGTTTGTTTCCCCTCATCGGGCTACCATAAAACTTTCCCCAARACGCTACTGCAGGCTCCAGGCCATGAAGTTCCCACTGCTCTTTAATAACTCTGCTTAATAGAAGCCAAATGATGGAGTGTCTCACTGTCTCCAGTTCGATTCCCTTGGGCTTTTAGACCAAGTAACCTAATTTTTCATGAATTCACACTCACTGTCATGCAGCATGTTACAGAAAAAAAACTCCTCAATCATTTCCTAAGCATTCTATACGAGGTCTGCCCCCTACCCTCTCTGAAAAAAATACTTTTCATAATTTTCTCACTATTTGAGACTTAAAAGTAAGATGCAAACATGGCACAGTACCAGAGCTGACAGTTCTTTTATGAGTTTCAGCACAGTACGGGAATGAAATGAAACAACACACATACTTTCAKTTTAACTGCTTATACAATCACATTTTAAAATCTACATTTTATTGCCCTAAGACAATCTTATAAACAAAATCTGACAGGCTAGTCATCAAGTTAATTCAACTGCTTTTTAATTAAAGCCATACTTTTCAGTGAAACAGAATGGACTTTGTATTACTGTATTAAAACTGTATTTCTGTCAATTCATAAAGTTTCTTCCTGTGCTATGCAAAAGGCCAGAAAGGGTATTTAGTGTTTTGAAACAGTGAACAATGACCTTCTGTTCCCTCCTCTTTCTTGTTACTGTATGTAGCTATTAAAGAAAAATGTCTGCTTTTAGTCAAGATGGCTACAGGAGAGACTGCAGGCTTCTCTTAAAGCTTTTGAAGTCAACAGCAGCCAGAAGTCTGTGATCCCCTAATTATATCATTATCAGGCACATAGTTTCAGTATCTGCGACTTCACATCACTCAGTCACTCCCTGTTCTGGCCGCTTTGATGGGGCCAGCAGGCTCCCCCCTGCACGCTGCAAGGCTGTTATTTAGGGTTAATTACAACCTTCCTTCCAAAATAAATAAATACCGTCGCACATCACCACCACGCTAACTTATCCTTTACCCTCCTCCCCGGAGCACGACGATTACCGGCAGCCAGTGGGTCGCCTGTG